ATGGCATACAAAGGTAACTTATTTTAGGAAGCCATGGTATGCAAAGGTAACTTATTATAGGAAGCCATGGTATGCAAAGGTAACTTATTTTAGGAAGCCATGGTATGCTAAATTAACTTATTTTAGGAAGACATGGTATGCAAAGGTATCTTATTTGAGGAAGCCATGGCATACAAAGGTAACTTATTTTAGGAAGCCATGGTATGCTAAGGTTACTTATTTTAGGATGCCATGGTAAACAAAGGTAATTTATTTTAGGAAGCCATGCTATGCTAGGTAACTTATTTTAGGAAGTCATGGTATACAAGGGTAACTTATTTGCGGAAGCCAATGTATGCAAAGGTAACTTATTTCATGAAGCCATAGTATACAAGGGTAACTTATTTTAGGAAGCCAGGGCATACAAAGCTAACTTATTTTATGAAGGCATGGTATAAAACGGTAACTTATTTGCGGAAGCCATGGTATACAAAGGTAACTTATTTTAGGAAGCCATGGTATGCTAAGGTAACTTATTTTAGGAAGCCATGGCATACAAAGGTAACTTATTTGCGGAAGCCATGGTATGCAAAGGTAAATTATTTTAGGAAGCCGTGGTATACAAAGGTAAATTATTTTAGGAAGCCGTGGAATACAAAGGAAAATTATTTTAGGAAGCCGTGGAATACAAAGGAAAATTATTTTAGGAAGCCGTGGTATACAAAGGTAAATTATTCTAGGAAGCCATGGCATACTAAGATAACTTATTTGCGGAAGCCTAGGTAACAAGGGTAACTTGTTTTAGGAAGCCATGGTATGCAAGTTTTAAGTTGGTTGTTTCCATCTCTTAACTTTCCTAAAATTTTCAATGCAGCAGAGTATGGTTGTTTAACTTAAAAACAAATCCAATTTCCAGAGTGTGCACTGTCTAGGATGGGCGTGAAAAAGCATCCCACGCTAAATTCAATATATATCTTTTTTTTTAGTTTTCCTTTGATGCGTTATTTTGATAAACACAACAAAGGGCTGTAGAAATCCCTGTGGTGATGTCAAAATCATTTGAAAGACGGATCGGTTTCCCCGCCTATTCGTCTGAAATAATCAGAGTGATTCGAGAAGAAAAAAATAACAAAAATGTGATGCAGAACGTAAAAATTACGCCTATACTTAAGATCAAATATTTCACAGTTTTATGTGTTTTCCATTGACAATGCATGCGTAAAACCCATTTCCAATTTGCAGTTACTGGTCATGCTTTGTATAATGAATATGTATATGAGTTGATATATTCATATATTGTGGAAAATATATGAATATTTGTCTATTCATTCAATGTGTATACGATGTTTATATTTTCCCTTTCCAATTGCTAGACATTGGGTAAGTTTGTTGGCCGTTGCATTAATAGTTGTATTGTCCTATATCAAATGATACATTTTTCTTGCTTCTTCATTGGTTGTATCCGTATCATATGGTCGTCGGTAAAGTTGCGACATTGGCCTAGTGTTATCTATTTTTAAAAAAGTAAATCAAAATGTCCTTGCATGTAATGTCGTCATTTTAATTGTGACGTCACATTGATCTTTGTCTAACGCAGTACTATCCCACGAACATTTGTTTATACGTTCCCCCTTACTCACTTATTCAAACATTATTTAGCTTCTATTGTAACAATAAAAGATTTTACCTCGGTTAATATATGGTTATATGGGCCTGAGTAAGTTGTACCGGTTAACATCCTCACCTCCATACATTTTGTTCATTCGTTCCACCTTACTTACTTATTATAACATTTTTTGAGCAACAAAAGTAAAATTATTTTATTTATTTTGGTGAAGACGTGGTTACAATTTATATGAAGCTGCTAAAATGATATTGACCTCGAAATTCTCGGTCAGTTTTACTTTCTCAGGTTCATTCAACCATATATACGCCTCAACAAAAGTCCACCACTGATACGAATCCAACGTTTCAACCACTGGATATATAAATGCGTATATAAGGTATACCACCACTAAGTCTACCGATAAGCATTAACTTTTAATATTCGTTCAGCATTTCCATTATTTCAATCTAACAAAGTTAGTTGTGCGTAATGAGTCTATAAATGTTGTGTGGTGTTCGAGTTCTGCGCCGACCAAAGCACTAATACTATCTAACCTTTTCACGCCATCCCGGCTAATCAACAATGAAGACTGCGGTATATGTATCGCTATTAACAGCTATCTTCATGTTCTTTTACGATGGATACATCTTTACTGTCGTGTGTATTGATTATATGAAGACTGCATATTCTATGACATTATGGGATTATTCCAGTGACTACTTTGTTCCTCAGGAAAACCCCAGCTTTGGAACGTATTTCAAATTGTGGTTCCTACAAAGTAATTTAAATTTGATATGGAAGGCATATAACTGTTACGTTTTTGACAGTTTTATACTTGAAATTCCTCGCAGGATTTCAAAAGATATCATAACCCGAATTATCTATTTCGTCTGAAATTCAGTCTAAAATGTAATATTTATTATTACGGATAAATATTGATTGGTACAATTGAAATGTGCTAGAGAAGACACAATTAACATTTAAGATTTTGTTTCATATTTGTAATTACAAATATAACTTTATATTCAGTACCTAGTAAATTCTACTATAGGGATACATATACAGCATGCTATCGGGACATGCAATACGAGGTCCTATATTTCACGATACTGCGATTAAACTGTGTCATCAATTCAGCTAACAGACGAATTGAACCAAGAATGTGTTTCGAATATTTCATCGCCATTTTACGTTATGGTAACGTGACGCCATTTTTTTCATCCTGGACGTTGTTTTGTCCGCCACTGTTGTTCAGTTCACGCTTTTGTGTAGCGAGTTAGCATTAATGCGGAGTAATAATGAGTGATGCTTCGTTGAGAATGTAATATTTATACTGCACAGTTGATTAATTTCGCAGGGCTTATATTTCGCGGTTGTATCGGTCAGACCTACTTCGCGGAGATTTAAATATCGCACAATATGGCAAAGATACAAATTATTGGGCTCACGAAGAAACTTTAGTATTTAGGTAATGAGATTTACTTAACAAGTGTTTTTTGAAAAAAATAGTAAAGTACATGTACTATACTAGATTTTTGTTTTATATTCAAAATTCGGCAGTAAATGGTTGAAAATTAAAATGGTATGCAACAATGTACGTAAAAATTAAAATGATATTCTACGTAAATATAAATATGATATTCTATGTTAATATCAAAAAGATATTCTACGTAAATATTAAAATGATATTCTACGTAAATATTAAAAAGATATTCTACTTAAATATTAAAATGATATTCTACGTAAATATCAAAATGATATTTTACGTAAATATCAAAATGATATTTTACGTAAATATTAAAAAGATATTCTACTTAAATATTAAAATGATATTCTACTTAAATATTAAAATGATATATTACGGCTATATATAAATATATGTATTGTACATATAATTATACGTGCGTACCGTTTCCGAATCACTTGCGTAGCACTTCCGTACCGTTTCCGTAGCATATCCGTACCGTTTGCGTCCAAAGTCGTATAGCTCACTGTGTACGGGTCCGTATACTCTCGGAGATTATGATCCATGGTATCAATTTTACCTGGGTTCTTAATTTTACGCTGCCTTAGGTGACCGTTGATACACCTAAATAAAATATTCCGCGAATATTAACGATTGTACAGTATACAGCACAAGATTAGGTTAGTATTAATAGCAATACCACTCATATTTGTGGTGTCGTTAGGGTGTCACCTAAGTTTCCAGAACTTAACTTCTTATTTTGATAGAACGAGGTATATTTCAACAATTATCTAAACAAAAACAATTGTTAAAACACACCCAAAAACACATGAAAGCAACTGTGATCTTTGGACATTTTTTACTTTTTTATGCTAATGATCTTTTTTTTCATTTCCCATTTATCTTTATTTGCACATGTATTGTAGTTGACATAGGTATATGCTTACACATATTAAAGGTATAAGGATCATAAAGTTAAAGACAAATCGTGTTTGTCTATCCTGTCGCATTCACTTTCTATAAGCAATGTTTCTTCTGTGATATCTCTGTTGTGTGTATTTAGATCCGGTACCTACTAGTTGGTTTGGTACTTAGTATTGCCACGCGCATGACTACTTGTATGATGTATACATTGGGCATAAACAATAAAAGTAGTTCGTAAAATGGCCACAAGCGTGTTGTCGTGTTTACAGTCACAACTTTTCTGACGACGAGGATGAGCATATTTGCTTCCTAAACGAAACCATGGGTGAGCCTGCACCACCAGCACGGTCAACCAAATTGGCCAATTCGACGAAGCGGTCGAAACTTGGGAAAGTTATACGGAGAGAGTTGAACTGTATACCACGGCCAATGGTATGAGTAACGAGCTGAAAGTTGCCTTATTCTTAGCTATACTTAAAAACATTTTTCACCAGCCAAACCAGGAGAGCTAACATACGCCCAGATGCTGGAATTCTTGAACGGACCCTCAGTGATAGCTGAACGTTTTAGATTTCACAAGAGGAATCAGCGCCATGATGAAGGGGTCATGAGTTACGTAGCTGAAATAAGAAAAATTTCGCTGCATTGTGAATTTGGTGATAACTTGAACGATACTTTAAGGGACAGATTATGTTTGTGGAATTAATAAAGAGAATATTCAGAGACGTTTATTGTCATATCGGACTCTCACACTGGAGAAGGCGAATCAGTTAGCAAAAATGCTGTGGAGCTACGCGAACAGAGACACGCGGCCGGACAGGTTAACAAATTACATAGCCGAGGTGGAAGGGGAAACAACTCTAAAAGTTCGTTCCCTCAGCAGAAAACACCGACTCATACAAGTGCTATGAAACCATGTTCGAGATGTGGTGGAACACACAAAGTGGAAAATTGGCGTCATACACAGACCATATGTAACTACTATTCAAAGAAAAGACACATCGAAAAGGCATGTTTGTCAAAGAAAAGAGGCTTTAATGGTCGTCAAAATACACGCGGTAAGAATGTTAAGTTTGTTGAAGAGCAAGTTCCAGACGAGAATTCATATGAACCAATACTACATGTTCACAGTCATAACGGTGTGGATCCAATTGTAATACATCCATCCCTCAATGGTCATACTCTGTCAATGGAATTGGACACAGGTTCCTCAGTATCGTTGATTCCTGAACAATTTTACAAGGACAATCTCAGTGACCTTCCCCTGAAAAAGACAAAAATGAAACTTAAAACCTACACAGGTGAGAACGTATTGCCATTAGGAGCTGTACGTGTGCCTGTGACTGTAAGCAACCAGACAGCAAACTTGGATCGTATTGTAGTTCAACAAACAGGACCAGCACTATTTGGAAGGAAGGACTTACTAAGCTTACATTAAACTGGCAAGAAATCAAAGTTCTGAAGGTACAAAAGTCTACAGAGACTCCTTACAAGAAACTTCAGGAAATATTAAACAGTCACAAAGCAGAATTCAGTGAAGGGACTGGAAAAATGAAGGACATTAAATCTACTCTTCACTTGGAAGACAACGCTACACCAAAGTTTCACAGGGCCAGACCTGTTCCTTACACACTTAAGCCTAAGTTGGAAGAGGAATTACAGCGGCTAGAACATGCCGGTATCACCAGTCCTGTAAAATCGAGCAAATGGGCTCCACCAGTTGTGCCTGTAGTAAAGACAAATGGTCAACTTCGACTATGTGGAGATTATAAGGTATCCATAAACCCAGTTTTGAAGGTTGAACAGTATCCGTTGCCACGGATTGAAGACATTTTTGCTTCTCTAGCAGATGGAAAACGATTTTCTAAGATAGATCTTATTCAGGCTTACAACCAGATGAAAGGAGCTTTTGACAATAAATGCTCACAAAGGGTTGTTCCAGTGTAACCGAATACAGTTTGGAGTACTTCTGACCCGGCTATATGGCAGCGTGCCATTGAGCAAGTCTTCAGGGTATTCTATTTACATCCTGTATTTTGGACGATATGATCATAAGTGAGAAGACCGATGAAGAACACTTGAGTAACTTGAACGCCGTACTGGAGCGACTCGAGAGTTATGGGTTGAGAGCCAACATGGAGAAATGTGAGTTCTTTAAAGATAGTGTTACCTATTGTGGACACGTGATAACACACCAGGGTTTACAGAAATCTTCGGATAAAGTGGATGCTGTGTTGATGCACCATGGCCGGAAAATCTACAACAGTTACGCTCATTTCTAGGGCTAGTCACCTACTGTAGGCGATTTTTTCCTAACTTATCATCAACACTTGGTCCAATGAATGAGCTACTTCAAGCAAACAAACCAGGAAATGGACACCTGTGTGTGACAAATCCTTCAAGGAGGTAAAAGAACTCATGACATCACAAGAGATGTTGTGTCATTATGACCCGCAACGACCCGTGAAACTGGCATGCGATGCTCCGCCTTATGGCTTAGGCAGTGTACTTTCTCATGGTATGGACTACGGTTCAGAAAGGCCGATAGCTTTCGCTTCAATATCCTTAACCAAGGAAGAGAAAGGCTATGCACAGATCGATAAAGAGGCTCTGGGATTGTATTGGGGAGTTCAAAAATTCCATACATACCTGTTTGGACGTCATTTCATTCTAGTTACTGACCACAAACCCCTAGTCAGCATTCTTAATCCTAAAACAGATATTCCAGCTATGACAGCGGCACGCCTACAGAGATACGCATTGTATCTATCAGGACATACATATGACATTGAATACCGCAATACTCGAGCACATAGTAACGCGGATGGCCTTAGCAGACTACCACTATCCATTTCTAAAGAAGACTATAAAGATACAGCCTCAGTAATTTACACTTCGCAAATAGACAAGTTACCAGTGACACGCCATTTTATCACAAGTTTAAGAAGTGTTATGTCAGGTAAAAATAAACGGTATCAAGCGGAACAGTTTGGTCCATACTACAAAAAATTCAAAGAACTGTCTTGTCATCAAAATTGTCTGTTGTATGGAAATCGTGTCATTGTGCCGGAAACCTGTCGCAAGGAAGTTTCACTAAGGACACATAGGAATTGTGAGGATGAAGTCAGCAGCAAGGTCATATGCCTGGTGGCCTAATATCGACAAGGACATCGAGACTGAGTGTTTATCATGCCCAGAGTGTTAGCAATACTTGCCAAAACCCAAGGCCGCACCTGTACATCCCTGGGGGTGGACATCGCAACCCTGGGAACGTCTACGTGTAGACTTTGCAGGACCGTTTAAAGGTCACATGTACCTAATTCTGGTGGACTCACATTCCAAGTGGACGGAAGGTCCCCAGATCAGTGAACTGAGAGACATTTTTGCAAGATTTATTCTACCTAAGCAGTTAGTGTGTGATAATAGTCCACAATTTGTTGCCGAGGAATTTGAGACATTTCTGAAAAACAATGGTGTAAAGCACCTTATCATCCGCAAACGAACGGATTAGCAGAAAGATTTGTAGAAACTTTCAAGAGTGCCAAGAAAAAGGAGGGCAAATCTATCAACCAGAGATTGAGTACATTTCTTTTCACCAAAAAAATACGCCTCATCAAACTACAGGAGAGACACCTGCTAAACTTTTGACCGGTAGAAGTTCACGGTCAAGATTGGATCTTTTAAGGCCCGATGTTCAAAGTCGAGTTGAAAGGGAACAGGAGAAAATGATGTTTTCTAAGCATACTGGACAGAAAATACGCACATTTGAGACTGGGCAGTCAGTAATGGTGTATGATTATCGTGGAAAGATTCCGTGGATACATGGAACAGAGAGTGAAAGGTTATGTCCACTTTCATACAGAATCAAAACTAGAGAGGGCGCTTTGTGGCGTAGACATGTGGATCAAATGAGAAGGACACAATCCGTAAGATCAGACTGCAGTAGCCATCGTATTGAACCCCTGTGCTACCATCAGATGAACGAGGAGCTACCGGTGTACAAAAGCTCAAAAAGTATAGCTCTGGATCACAGAAACCATGCACGTCTGCGTCAACTTTTACTGCTATAGCTGTCACACTACCAGTAATTCCATAGGGACACAGAAATGAGTTTATAGCTCAAAAACCGGTACCAGTGACAGTGCCTAGGTATCATACAAGGCAAAACCGGCGCGCTCCAGATAGACTTAATATTTAGTGTTGTAGTTATAATCACATTGTGTTAAAGGGACATAATAATGCCCTGTGTGGTTATATCAGAACCCGAGATTATGTAGCAATCTATTGGATTGTATCGTTGATTTTGTATTCTGTGTTAAATTTAGTTAAAAAAAGGACAAATAGTCAAAATTGAATCTCTATGTTTTAATTCAAAACAAAATGACTTCAAGTTTTCATGCTTAAGTAAAAGTAACAGGTACTTCCCTAGGAACAGACAATATTAACAAAAAGTAGTACCTATGGTAATTACAAAGTATTCTTATAAGAGACAGGATTCCAATTTTAGTATTCTCAAAATGTAGGGGAGGAATGTTGAGTATTTAGATCCGGAATCTAATAGTTGGTTTGGTACTTAGTATTGCCTCGTGCATGAATATTTGTATGCTGTAAACCTTGAGCATATACAATAAAAGTAGTTCGTAAAATGGCCACAGGCGTGTTGTCGTGTTTACAGACACAATAGTCTCCATTTTCACAATTTTCATATCGAGACATCAAGCCCACATAATCAATCACCTTTTATTTTGTTTTTTCTTGATATGCTTTTGCCTTAATCATATCTTGATGTCTATAAATATCGTAAAATGGAAAGATCTGTTAGTGCTTACAATGCACTTTAACAAGCAGCCCTGCCATTAAGCCTTTCTCAGCATATTGAAATGTTTTTTATACTGTTATTACCAATTTCACTGTGCGGGACCGTCTACACCAGAATTATATCATCTTTTTAATTCATAGCTTGAACGGTTGCGCACCAAATTTGTGTACGCTTAAGAGAATTGTTTTTTTCAGGGATTTTTAATAAAAATAAATCCTATTTAATGCATACGTATTTAGGTACATACAGCCGCTTTTAACTTAAACGTTTCTCATTTCCATGAGACAAATCATTCACCGAAGTTTAAAAATGCCAGGTGTCTCACTCAGAGAAACGATGGACCACCACGAACGTAGATTAACAAGCATCGAAGTTCATATTGGGTTTTTCATAACGGTCATAAAATATCACAGACTCTCTGAAGGGTCAGGTATCAGTCAGGAAAAACTGTAAGATTGGACATTATGCGAAACTTACTGCTCATAATTGTACGTTATTTCGTTTGGGTTTCCGTTTTAATTCTATACAATTGTATTATACCAGTATATAACTAAGATATCAAAAGACAATTTAATGATTTTTGATTATTTAATTTTCATAATATTGATCAAACACTGACAAATTTATCCGGAATGTGTATTAATATTTTGTTTTGTTTTGTAATGAAGCTTAATTAATTGCAGAGAGTTGTTTTTTTGAAATTCGATGTTTTTTTTATCTTGCTCATCAGTATGTCTTGTGCTTTTGATATCACTATCCGAGTTATCTATGTGAGGACGTAACATATCTTGGATTCGACCTACATTTAAATGGCGGGTATCGACTATGAAGCAGAAGACGCGTACCCTTTATGAACACCTGGTCGTTTTCTCCTGAAACGTTTTCAAGGGTATCTATGTAATTCTTTCCTTTGTTCATATATTGCCCTAGTTGTATCGATTTCGAGTTAGAATTATGGTTTTCTAACACTTGGGTACTCCATTGATGTTTAGAAGACAATGCCTGCTACGCCACAAGGCCAAGAGCACACTCAACCAAAAAAACTACTGTCTCACTTGATTTCTCATTAACTAATATAATCAAGACTGAACCGTGTCATGGTAACTTTACAACGGGCTCACAACACGTGCTCATTTCGTTTCAGAAAAAAAACACTTTATTACATAGTAAAGTGTTCTGATAATAACAATCATCATCAAATCTATCTGTCTGAACCAATGTCAACAATAAATAGAAATAAAATAACAATAGTCAAGTATATAAATCAAAATGGAGTGCTGCCTTATGGAATCTGTTATCACGAATGTCGTGTGTGATCTAGCAAATCTTCCGAATAACCTCCGGCCAATGGAGCAGCAGATTAACCAAGTGCTAAAAGAGCGATATTTAAAAATAGTTGTAGGCTTGGTACTTGGATAACATGTGAAAGGTCAGGAGGCCAATTATTTTTAAGCGATATAATCAAAGCTGTAGACGTGATGACATCAGTGCTGCAGCTAAAAATGGCTGCTTGGCTCGCATGTGATTACAATGAACTCAGAGGCGAACATCAATGATCACCAAAAGTATTTAGATAACGTCAATACAATCCGCAGTAGACGTGGCTAGTTGTGGTATACATCAGAATTTCTTCTAGTCGTTTTTCATTTTATATCATACACTTTTTCCATGACTTCTGGCATAGTGCCAAGTATTCGATTATTTCATTCTTGGAACGTTTGATCGAGGATCCGGGTGATGCTCCTTCTTGTAATATAAGGAAGTTTTTGAATGCCTTTTTGTCAACACATTATGATATATATGTAAACAGGTAATGTACAATTTGTCATTATGTGCTATAAATGATTCATATTGTCGCTGGGCTGTAAACAATACAAAATCATTGTGATTGCATATTTTGGATTGAAATAAAATTCATGTATTTATATTTTTTTGTTACTAATGTTCGTTCGAAGAGTTGAAATGTTCGCTCTATTACTTTTTGTTGCTATATAGCTACCGGGAAAGCGACGAATGAATATAAATGTGTGTAGAAAACGAATAGTGTATGTTATACAGGCTCGATATCAACAATGACAAGATAAGCAAGAAACATGTATTTTACATACATACTGCAAATCAATTGTTTTGTTTGTTATTGTAATCATCGCTTCGCGAGAAGAAGTTTTTCATTAATAAATACGTGGTCAGAATATCTTTTAGAACGTTAACCTGTTTCTCAAGTACGATTACAATAAAACAATACATTAATTTATCGCAAATCAAGTCACAATATACCAATATGCGACCATGAAGTTACAAATCCTTTGTTTATTAAAATCAGCATTAGCTAATTACGAAATACAACATCTTAATTAGTTAAATTCCGGATGGGTTTTTTTTAAAGTGCTTTTAATATCTGTAATATGATATACACAAAACAAATCTTAGTTTCCGTGAAGGAACTGTTCTAGTTGCACGTTAACTTTTAATAAAGAACCCTCTTGCCAAAGGTTTATCTTTATGAAGTTTGGTGAAGATGAGATTATATACAGAGAAATTCTAATATTGAAATCATTAACAATCAGACTGCATAAATCGACCTTGAATGACCTTGATATCTTACAATTTGACAACGTGTATGTATATGTTCCCCTTATCAACTTTTACAACTTCATCCTGATTGATGAAGATGACTTAAACATATTGAAGTTAAAGGACGGAAATCAATTGTCAATGGAATGAAACTATATTTTCGTATATAAAGGCAAGCATCAATTTTCTTAAATAATGTTTACAATGATTTCATACTGGTACAAGTACCAGTGTTCAGCCTTGCCAAGCTAATACTGAAAACATACTTATCTAAGTGCACTCAAAGTTTAGCGCATCGTCAATTCAAACAGATTTAAAGGCTCACGAACAAAATAACTATTAAACAACAACATTTATGAACTTCAATTTGCGCGTTGATAGTTTAAGCGTTATATTCAAAGCTCGAAGAGTGCCTAAATAATATTACCGTTTAAATATGCACATTTACAGTAAGTCAAAGGTTGGTAACAGAAAACACATTTAGTTTCATTTGACCTTAAAATGGCCTTGTAAACTACATTTCTTTACTACTGTTACTTTTAAAGCACAAAACAATCGATCTACAAATGTAGGTTTAATATGAAGTGAAGTCTGTTTAATTCTGCCACCGCTTATCCGATTTTCCTCTACTCATTTAGTATTTAATTAAGGAACAATACCCTTTTGTTTTAAAATAAGATAAAAATTATTCCAGCAGTCTAACAACCCCGGTACGTCTGAATTGACTTATTTAACCAAATAATCCGAAACATGTTCGGTGTCTATCACTTATCTGACACCTTACCTTAGAGATGTGTACCATAAACTGTTGGTAGGAGGGGGTGTAATAGTATTCTCCATTTCTTCACAGATATGTCTCCCGTCCTATCCTTAGTGATTTCTCTGTCAAAGATACGGGAAAACATCGAGCTCTGTAGCGGAAGTATGCAGTTGAACATGTAACCATAACTTATACATGTTGAACATTATTTTTATTCCAAACTATTGTTTATGAAGACAGGATAATTCGAACTATATTTTGTCGTGTTGTAATATGCATATGAGAAGCATTACCGACGGAGGCGTTACATCTATAATCATAAACTACTTTTTGTTCTTTTGTTCATAAACAAGGAGCCGGAGACGGGTTTTTTTACTTATCTAAATGGAAATAGAAAAATAATGTTTACCTTCTATTTATCTCGGGCGTGTCACTAAGAAATTATAATCTCAGAGTAAGGTTATTGAACGTCATATCCTCAGCAAGACTTATGTTTAGAAATGAAGGGATGAATAGGATATTTTTTACACGTTCAAAGCAGCGAAATGTTTTCTTATTGAAACTCGCTGATCGACAGAAACGATTACTCATACAGATCGATGTTAAGAATTAAGCAATACATAATCTCGTACAAGAGAATTTTGGCAACATCAGGGTATTACCAAACAGGCAATATGATTGTCACATAACATCCTGGCAACAAGACAATCAAAAAACGTTTTCTTCAGGTGATGACACAGGCGATCGACCATTAGGCGTATTGCCAAAAGTCGTGTGAAAATGTTGAATAGATATAAAAAAAAAAACACACACAAGAAATCCTGATGTATACCACAAATAGCTATATATACTGCGGATTGTATTGACGTTATATAAAAAATGTCAGTGATGAGTAAGTTTCGCCTGGAAGGTTCCTTATAATAACGAACAAGTCAAGCAGCATATATTGGCTTCACCACCGATTCCATATCGTCTGCAGCCTTGTTTTATCTCAGATATCAAATTGACTTCATGCCTTTCACAATGTTATCACAGTACCCAGCCTGAAACTATTTGTTAAGATCGCCCTTTCAGCACTTGATTAATATGTTGTCCCATTGGCCGGAGGTTATCCGTAAGGTTTGCTGGAACCAACCCGACACAAATTCCCGCACGGATCATTTTTTGATGACATCATCAGCCTGGTGGGCCGAGCAATCATCCCTTATCTCCGGTATTCTTTGTTTCAATGGTAAATCAAATTCATGACGTACATTTGCGTATATGAAATAATGATCTTTTCGATGTATCTAAAACATTTTTAAAATAAGGGTAATTATAAAAAACGAAATCTTCTAAAATGTACTTAAGTAAATCATCCCTGTTACGTCAGGCAGCGCTTCATTTTTGCTTATATACCTGACTGGGTTATTGTTCTGTGCAATGTTGACAGCGGTTTACGAATATAGATTTGAGACTTTAAAATGTTAAAATGTTGGTTTATTTGTCGGAGGTTTTTCGTAAGGTTTGCTGGGGGAAAACACGACACAGATTCACACAAGGAACAGCCAGTGTATTTCCAAACTGTTCTGAAATATGTGACAAAGTAGAATATGCCAGAAAGTACTTTGACATCACAAAGCAATTAAATGAAAACAGACAAAAACAAAACCGGAAGATCAGGTCGTCAAGGAATGTCAGATACACTACAAACAATATACAGGAATCCTAATGCTGAGACAGCTTAAAAACCTCATCGGGTTATTCAGAGTATCAAGTGTACGTGTACTTCAAAGGAAAACCATCAAAGAAAACCATATTGGGTTGTATGAATCAAATAAATTACATTTCATATTGGAGAAAATAGATAAAGTCTTAAAAGATTTAATTACATGAAGCCACCGAAAAACAAAGTCAGTGTGAATAACATTTGTCTGAAATGAACGTTCGACCATGTCACAAAAATACAATTTGATAGATTGGTACAGCAGTCGAGTGAAGGGAAAGGAAAGTTAATATCAATATGCGGCATAGCAAGACACAAACTTTGATCTGGGGACCAATCTAACGAGTGACGTTTGTAAAATGAAAAAAAATATTCAGCATTTGATACTGCGCCCTATCTAGCTAAAATATGCCATTCTAGAGCGCTTTACAGTGTATATATATACAATTTATACAATCAATATAATTAGCATATACATAAAATAGTACATTAATCAATAGAATTTTGAAGAATTGACAGGAGCTGCTTATCGGGCGCTAACTACATGTTCTAGTCATATGCCACCTGGCTAATACCTCTCTATATGTGTTTGTAGTGGGACCGTGCTTCAAACGGCAATCTTTATAGTGCCGTATCACCTGAATGCTACCTCACAGATACTGCAACATCGATTCTAAACCATTTTGATATTCCATATGGGCTATTGGTGTTGCAGGTGCCAACAGACGATTCCATGTCTATGAACAGCGTCCAGGAAGAGTGAAATGAATTTGACACTATCGTGTTAAGGTCTATATTTCATTTAGATGTATGATACTGCAGGGAGCAAGGCAAAGGTTCTGTCTAAACAGTGGATGGATCGTCGAAACGTAACTAGTACAAAAGCTCGTGGTTGTCTCTAATACAAAATGTATTAAATGTTTACGATGTTTTTACTATCTTTATTGAACGGTTACAATGAATAAGTTATTTTTCTATTTAGATGATATCTATGTTGATTACAGGGGAAAACAACTTTTTTAAACTCTTTACAATCTAATCATCGTAGAATAGAGAATCCTGAATACTGAATTTGAGGGGGGGAAAATGACATTCAATGTTATTTTTAAAATTTGACTTCAACACAATATGAAACACAATGTTTAACAAGACTGCCAACATTGCACTGCTCAACTAGTTTGCATTATCTTGAAGAATCAAGATATCCGGGACCTGTAGACCCTGCATGTTTACCGTGGGTACAAGAGATCCTCAACCACTCCAGTGCGCAATAATACAAGAGCTCTGTGGCTATCTTATAACGCTCTTAATATGTTTGTTAAGTTATTGAAGGCATTCCACGAAAAGTCTGTGACATTTTGCAGCGCGTTTGCATTTGTCCGGTCATTGAGATAATAAACGGGAGATATGAGACCTTAATGTGACTATTATTACTTTGGTTTATTACTTGAATCACTGCGATATGCATACAAATCGTTGTGCATGTACAGATGGTTATTATGGTGCGGTCGAGCAACACTCTTGCTAGATTAAATAGTCGCCTCGTGTCTCATTATCTTGGATATATTGCTTGGCTGATATCTATATTTTTGTCATATAAATAATGAATATTTCGCCATATTGTACAGTATGCATACCAAGGTATCATCATAAGCCATTCCAAGAATTGTCGTTTTCGATCGATTACTAAATTGCTGTTTCATTTACATGTTCATATATGTATGATACGCGGCAGATACATATAACCTTACCACGCTCTTTATTGCCTCCAAATCGAACATTTCTAGGCTGAAAAAACATATATCACATTAAACAACTTAGGAAAAAAGGAGGAATTACACCATAGACATTATAACAGTTAAACATGCATGTTGAAAAACGTTCGCGCGTCTGAATATTCGCAAACTTACAGGCACTCTACTTCAAACACTTGTGCGCGCCAATATATGCTCAAACCCAAATACACTCGACTACAAACACGTGCGCGCGCGAATATATTCTCAAACCCTTAGACACGCGCGTGCGCTATTTTTTCTCAAATCCAAAAACACTCGCCTACAAACATGTGTACGCGGAAATATGTTCCCAAATCCAAATACACTCGCTTGCAAACCCATGCGCGCGCAAACATATTCTCAACCGAAATACACTCGTCTGCAAACACGTGAGCGCCCCTATATATTCTCAGACCAAATACACTCGCTTAAAAACATATGTGCGCACCATTATATTTTTAAACCTGAACACACTCGCCTAAACATATGTGCGTACATCACTCTCACGTACTCACACATAAACGCATACACATACACTTTACGTGTATGCATCGACACATTATTTTATCCACAAACAAACACTCAAACACTCCATAAACATATTAATATATACGTTCGGACATATTTATCTTTGGGGTTTTTTAACAAAAAAATAACAAGACTTGAACAAAGTTTCCCTCAACACATAGTTTCAAAAACAAATATTACATTAAAAAAACACCCAAAAATGGCTAGAGAAGTAAACCTTGGTATTTTACAGCTTTTACTCTTTTTATAAAACAGCGACATCTTTTTTTAAATTATATCTATAGATTAAATTGTATTTCAAATACAAGCTTTGTTTCGTTTTGCAGGGGAAAAACAACCGTGTTTTCAGATGATTAATATTCGAAAATGTACATTGTAAAATCATTGTTTATAATCGGGCGATATATATAGACGGTAATTTTGATACAGAAAACACAATAACACGCCATTCCAGCAAGTTACATTATGTAAAATGAGCATGTGAAGTTTTGGATGGATATTTAGTTTTCTATTTTGTCTCAGCAACTCAAAACACGTTTCTGATTTATATTGCATGAATTGAATTAAAACATTGAAATACTTTGCAAATACTTGTACCATCGTGGCCTATTTTATAATTATGTATTACATTTACTTCTCGGTTTCATACCAGCATTGTACTAGTGTAGATGGTGACGTAATAAAGGGGTTTTATAATAACAAATAAAAGGATTAGTGTCAAAAAGAAAATGGAATCATATGCAAAATGTTAACGGTACACCAGGCGGTACATAAAGCAAGCGACATTATACCAATATTTTATCGTTAAATGATAACCGATAGGTATTATATCGAGATATTATTATAGAATGATAACAGATTTGCTTTATGTCGAAATATTATCATAGAATGATAACTGATAGACATTATATCGAAATAGTATTATAGAAAGATAACTGATAGACATTATATCGAAATATTATTATAGAATGATAACAGATTTGCATTATATCGAAATATTATCATAGAATGATAATTGATAGACATTATATCGAAATATTATTATAGAATGATAACTGATAGACATTATATCGAAATATTATTATAGAATGATAACTGATGGACATTATATCGA